CCCCCAAGGCCTCTGTCCCCCCAGGGATCACCCCGTCCCCCCCCCTCTGGTCCTCCGTACCCCCAGCCTCCCCTCTGCCCACCCCCCAGGGCCTGTGCACCCCAGGCCTTCCCCGTCCACCCTTGGGGCCTCTGTACCCCCCAGTCCTCCCCCCACTCTGCATTCCCCAAGGTCTCGTGGCTTGTGCTGTGGCCCCTGGTGGCATCAGTGGTGTCATGGAACACTCCAGCTCTCCTCACCTCCCATGGTGGGGCTGCACCCCCAAGTTCGGAGGCCTTGAGATAGCAGCAGAGGTCACCTGAGCCCCTAGGGACAATATCGTCACTGGGTTCTGAGTGGATACGTCACCGCTGGGGCTGGGGGACGGGATGAGAAGAACACCTTTGAGTGGCCTGCCTGTGCTGACTTGGCCTCTGCCCAGCCCGGGGCCCCTGAAGGCCTGGGCTGGGCCCAGCTGCTGCTCCGGGGGCCCAGGTGCCTATGGAGAGCCCCGAAAGCCAAAGAATAAACAAGGCTTCTGAGAGCCACTGTGCGAATTTATCCCCCACCCTGCCCACCAGCCCCCACCATGGGGCCAGAAAGCACGGGCCACCAGGAGAGGCAGACTAGGGTCACTAGGTATCTGGCGAGGACAAGAGGCTCCCCAGTGTTCAGTGACGTGATCAGCCACTGGCGCAGCAAAGGCAGCCAGGAGCTCTCGGGGCCTGAGAACCACAGGACTGGGGTGGCTTCACAGGGGGACGGGCCCTTCCGCTGGAGTCTCCCTTCCCTGTCCACCCCCAAAGTCGCTGTCTCTTCCCCACCTCCTCCTCCTCCGCTTCCCAGCGGCTGCCTCCTCCTCACCTCACCCCCCACAGGGGCTGTCTCTCCCTCACCCCTTCTCTCCCCACTCCCCTGTCTGCCCCTCCCATTCTCTCCCTCTCACCCCCACCTCCCAGTCCCTCTTCCAGGGGTGAATCCTGGAGCCCTGCCCTCCACCTGCAGGGGGGAGCAAGCTGCCCCTCTGGCCCAGACACACCCCCTCCCTCAATCCACCACAGGAAGCCCACCAGCCTCCCTCAGTCGGGGTCTGGGGTCTGGGGCCTGCTGAGGCCCCTTGGGCAGCCGTGTGTCTGGACCCCCTGTCCTCTGGGTGTGTCTAAGAAGCGACCAGGAACAGCTCCCGGCCTGAATCACCATTTCTGGAAAGCCCCCCAATTCCCGACGCTTCCTGGGAAGATGAGGAGGTGTCTACCTCCTCTCCCCGTGCCAGACGCAACCACTTCCTCTGGGGACCCCTTTCCTGTCTTCTGTCCTCGGAGTCCAGCCCAGTAGGAAAAGGGAACAGAAGTGAAGACCCAGGTCAAGACCCAAGTGGCCAGTCCTGGCACCAGGCCTAGTCAGTGGGCACATATCCCAGTGCTGGGCGGCCAAGGGCCACCTGCCCAGGGTCCCCACACCCGCCCTAGGATCGGGGCTGGGAGGGGCTGGTGTCCAGTTCCACCTGGGAAGGGCCCCCTGCCTGCCTCTGCCCTGGGTGTCTGTCCAGATGGGGAGGAGGCGTCCGCCACACGGGCTGAGGTCAGATCTCAGGCAGGAGCTCTTCCGGCAAGGTGGGGGTGAGGGTGGGGTCACTGTGGCAGGAAGCACTTCTGGGAACAGAGGTGCCCTCTGGTCCCTAATCCGAGAAGACCAACCGACCCCTGGGGAGGCGGTCTGCGGTTTTCCGGGAGCCGCAGCGGGTGTGGGCTTCCAGGGAAGCAGGAGGGAGCACATACCTGCCCCTCTGCTCCCAGTCGGGGGGAAGTGGGGCCCCCACAGCCAGCCTCATCTCAGCAGCTCCTGGCACCCAGGTCTCCTCCGTGCCCCTGGTACCAGTCCTCCTCCCCTCCCCTCGCCACCCTGGGCCTCTCCTCCCTGAAACTCACACGTGGATCCCCAACTCGGGGCGCAGGGCTCTGCACAGGCCTTCTCAGGGCAGGTCGCCTGCCCGGCCAGGCCAGCACACCCACCACCCCGTCCCCACCCCAGGCCCAGGAGGTCGGACCCCGCAAACTGTGAGGGGCGGAACTGGGGAGGGGGCGGAACTGGGGAGACGGCGGAACTGGGGAGACGGCGGAGGGGGAGGAAGCCGCGGAGGGGGGAAGGGGAGGCTGCAGGGCGGGGCCGGGCTGGGACCCCACCCGAGCCTCGCTGCCGCGGAATCTCCCCCGGCCCCAGCGTCAGCGCCCGCCCCCAGCGGAGGATCACGGCCTTCACCCCCGCGGGGCCCGCGAGGAGTTTCCGCGCTGAGTCAGCTGGCAGCGCCTGCGGAATGCTGCTTTCTGGAGAAGGTCCGGAGCCGCCAGCCTCCCGTGGGGGGGCTCTGAGGACCTGGGTGAGGGGAGTAAGTCCCAGGGAACCGAGGCGGACAGGGGCCAGCCAGCGCAGGGACAGCCTGGGCCGGCAGGGGCAGCTGGAGTGCCAGGCGTGCCAGGAAGGGTCCCATGTGTTCCGGTGTCTCTGGGGCCTCCACCCAGGGCCTCCTTCTGAGCGCCCTGCAGACTCCGCAGGCAGGTCCAACCCCGCAGAGCCTTTTTTTTTTTAATGTAGTTTTATTCAGAAGTCTTATCCAAAACTTTTTTTTTCTCTGAGTCAGTCTCACTCTGTCTCCCAGGTTGGAGTGCAGGGGCACACTCATGGCCACCACAGCCTCCACCTGCTGGCCTCAGGTGATCCTTCCATCTCAGCCTTCCAAGTAGCTGGAACCACGGGTGCACGCCACTATGAGGCACTTTCTAATAACTGAGCTAATTTCATGTCTGCCACACCTGCCAGAGCCCAGTGGGCACACAGGTGTTAAGTCAGACGGCTGTGAAGAACTCTCTCTCCCCCTCCAGTGGCGGGAGCCACTGTCCTCTGTCCAGCACAGTCCCAGGTGTCTCTCTGTGACCCTTGGGCTCTTCATATTCTGGGTCCCACGGGGGGTGATGCCCTCTCTCTGCCATCCACCTGCTGGGAGCTGAGAGCTGGCTGAGAGCAAGGGCCGCTGAGACCAGGGCACCCACGGGGGCTGGAGCCGGGCATGGGAGCCTTGAGGGGGTGAGTAGGAGGCTGGACAGGAGCAGGGCCTACTGAGGCTGGTCCCCACAGCCCGCTGCCACTCCCTGATGGCTGGCAGTGCCAGGCAGGCACATCAGATCTGCAGGGAAGGGGTGACTGTCGGGGTGGGACTGGTCGAGCCTGGAAGGCCTGGTGGGGTGGCTGAGGAGGCTGGGCAGGGGGCGAGGCAGAGGCCATGCCAGGCCACCCTGTGGTGCCTCACACCAGAAGGTGCTGGGCTTGGAAACTGACCCAGCCTGAGGCTCTAGTCAGAGCAAGGCAAGGTCAGGTGCCCAGAGCCAGCGGGCTTGTGGCTGGACACCAGTCTCCACAAGTGTCCAGAGCAGTGGTCACCTGGAGGACACAGGCCCAGGACACAGGTGTCCAGGCATGTGCAGGGGAGACAGTCAAGGAAGCAGACTTGGATACAGAGGCATTCACACAGCCGCCTCCTCCAGGAAGCCTCCTGAGCCCTGGTCCCTGCCATGTGCTGGGCCCAGAACTGGGTACCTGACTTGGGCCCCACCCAGGCCAGCTACCTCCTCCCCTCTACCCCCTGTAAAGGAGACTGTGGCCCCAAGTGGGCAAGGTGCCCCCAAACCCAGGCCTGTGCTCTTTCCCTCCGTCCCTAGCCTATGTCCACCCAAGTCACTGGACAAATGTTCATTGAAGGCCACCTGCAGCCAGCTCCAGTGCTGGGTACTTCCTGCTCACAGGCATGGCCTCCTGCCCCTGGGGACAGGGGCCCACAGACCCCACCCTGGCAGCGCAGGCGAGGGAGACAGGGAGTCACGGTTGTGTCTGCAGGTCCGGCAGGACCCAGCCACGGTTGCTATCTTTCCACGTGAAGGGGACTCGCCACGGTCACTGTCCTGCAGCCAGATGATCAGGACACAGCCCTTGTGTCCACCTGGGGAGCTCCTGGAGAGGGTGGCCAGCCTCACACCCAGGGCTCCCCCAAACAGCCCTTTACCGACCCCTCTCCACGCTCCTCCTCGGGGAACTGGCAGCTGCAGGTGTCCTCTGTGGGCGGTGGCATCTCCAGGAGCAGCGAGGGGTGTGCAGGGGGGCTGTGGTCAGCGGGTGACCAGGGACCTGCCCCCCTGTCCGGGCACAACTGACCTCGCGGCCACAGGGACTGCCTCCTCAGCTGCCAGATGTGCAGGCCGAGGTGGGCTGCACTCAGCACAAGGATGCAGGCAGCCATGGTGAGGAGGATGCCGGCTGGCTGGCCATGGGGCTCTGGGCGTGGCAGCTCCGGGATGCACAAGGCATTGTGGGTCTTGTTCCCCGGGAACACAGTGAGGAACCCAGACTGGGTGCAGCTGGAACACACAGACAGACCCCCTCAGCCCGGCCGCTCGGCAGCCTCACCTCATGGCTGCGGTCCTCAGAGCCGTCTGGGGGTCGCCACGCTGGGATGGGAAAGGAGGGGCTGGACTGCTGAGCCGCAGAGGCTCCGGGACTCACTCTGTCCAAGGCTTGCAGTGGCCGTCACGGCCACTGGAGAAGGTCCCCGTGGCACAGTCCACACACTCGAAACCAAACTTGAATTGCCCTGGGGACAGACAGACGGGCTGCAGGAGTTGCTGGATGGACGAGGAGGGTGCCAGGGTCCATCTGGGTCTGGTCCACAGGAGAGTGGCCCTTCCCCCATCATCCATTCCACAGAGGTCTCCGATGCCCACAGGACTGGGGCCAGGGATAAGTCAGTGCCCGCTCCAGGGTGGGCATCTAGAGGGTCACAGTGAGGGCAGCCAGCGGCTGTGACGCCGGGGGCCCCAGAGGAGGAGCAGAGTGGGTCCAGCCCGTGGGCAGAGGAGGGGCTGCCCTTTGGTGATTGGGAGGCAGAGGCTGGTTGGCACTGGGCTTGGTCCCAGGGACTGGAGGGAGGAGGCAGGGAGGGTCCCAGAGAGAGGGCAAGGCTAGTCACAGCTGGCCCAGACCCCACCCCGTCCAAACTCACATCTCCCCTCCTCACTCCTCCCAGCCCCCACAAGCTCAGCCTGGACCCCTCCATCAGGTAAATGGGTCTTAGGAGGACTTGAGCTCCTGCTGCCAGAAAAGGAGTCCAGCGCCAGACCCAGACAAGACTCTCGGAGCACGGGCAGGCTCTTTCCACATGCCCGTGCAGATGGACAGGATAGGTGTCTGCAGCCTGAGAGCCACACAGCCCCGGGACACCCTGAGGGCCCTCCCAGCGAGCCCTAAGAGGCAGTGCCCTCATTCTGGATGGAGACCCCAGGTGGCAAGAAAGGACCCCGGAGCTGCAGGGCCAGGGGCGCCCTGAGAAAGGCCCTGCAGGACCCAGAACACCGTGCTGCCCACCCAGAGGACACGCCCAGACCCCACACATCCTGCATGCTCACTGGGCGCCTGCTCCCAGCGCTCTGGCTGGCCAGGTCGGATCCCGGCCCCACAGCTCCTCCCGAAGCCCCCAGGACTCACCCTGGGGTCGCACCTGCTGGCCAGGTGGGCAGGGGTGGTGGCTGCAGCTCTGGCACTGAGGGTCTCCGCAGTGGAATTCAGGCTGGACACACACGCAATCACACGCTGGGTAGCCCTTCTCGGCTAGGTGGGAGGCAAGCAGCTGAGCAGGTGCCTCCCGGGCCTCCTCCCAGCCCTCAGAGGAACGGGGTATCTGGCCCCAGGAGCCCTATCCCTACCTCCCAGGGTGCCTGGCTGCTCCCACCCAGGATGGCTGTGACTTTGCATGTGACCAGGAGCTGTCCCTACTGGGCATGGAGTCATCAGGGCTTCCTGGAGGCAGACATCTCCCTTTCTGCCCGGCACGGATCCCTTGAGGCTCCACGGGCGCCTGCCTGCCTGTCCCTCCTTACGCGGCTGTCCACCCCACCAGCCACACTGAGACACGGAAGGCTCAGAGTCGCCCCTGCCCAGTCCCCAGGCCCTGGCATGAGGAAGTTCCGGGTGTTTCCCTGAGAGCCAGGACTCCAGACAGGCCCCTCACCCACAGCTGCAAGTCAGAGGTGGGGGTGGGGCAGCAGGGGGTGCCGGGACCCCACACGGGTAGGGGTGGGCAGGGTGATGGCCCCCAGCAGGACCTGGGCCAGCCCACCTCCGCCCGGGATCGGCCCTCACGGAGGAGGCTCTCGCCCCTCTCCCCCGTGCCCCCCTCGGCCAATGGCAGGAGCCGGGCGGGCTTCCGCCTCCCTCCCCCCAACCGGAGCGGAGACCCCGGGCCGCCTCCTTCG